ATACATATATATATATATATACTTTTATCACATTTATCTTTATTTAAACACTTTATCTTTCACAATCAATCAGTATTTCACTCGTGATAGTTTAGTATAATTAGTGGTTTTTTTCAAGTACTACATAAGTTCATTGGGAGACAATATTCATATTTATCATTGAACTATTTATACAATTTGGTACACTTGTTAAGGATATAAACAATAATAATCCGATATATAGCTACGAGTATGTATGATATAAAAGATATTATGTCATAATTTACGATTTGTAAACAAAACGACTCTATGGACTACATTACAAAATATTAAAAGTTGAAGGACTCGGTTGCAAATTTTTTAGTTTAGAGACTTAATTAAACATTCCTAAAAGGTTTAGAGTTCAAACAATATATTAAGCCTTTAATTAAAAATAACATATTTTATTACATTAAAAAATTGTTGGTAACAAATTTTGGAAATGTATATATTATATTTTTCATTCAATTTATTTTTATATCATTGTTTATTTTAAAGTGCCATATAAATAATTTTGAGAACTAAAAGTGGTGCATCTCTAAAAGAACCAAAATAAGACTGTTTTTTTAGAAACAAAAACCAAACTTTGGAAAAAGTTATAAGAACCAAAAATATATTTTATCGTTTTATGGATGTAATACATAAAATAAAATAAAATAATAGATAACAAGATTTTATAATCATACCATAATTTTATATTTAAATAAAAAATTAATAACAATCTATTTTTAACATAATATAAAATTATATATATATATATATATATATATATATATATATATAATTGCAATTTGCACCTTCAAATAAATTTTAAGATTGATCCTGTCCTTGATCGTAATGAATTTTTCTTATATTTTTTTAATTAAATCAAATTTTTTATCTCTAATAATATTTGATTTTGGTGATTTGATTTTTAATTTTACAATTATAATTTTTAATATTGTTAAATTAATGTAATTCTAATTTAATTATCATTTATTAATTATTAAAAATATAATATTAATAATTATAGGAATATTTAATATTAATAATTATTTGAGTGATCGGAATATATTATTGGGAGATTAAAATTACGAATCCAATATTAATTATAGGAAGAGTGAAAGTGTTGTATGTAGTATGCTACAAGTATTAAGCCCACAATTTTGCTATGGTGGTGACGGCACACCTTTATCTTTAGGTGATTATTTAGATATGATTTAGTTATGAAAGAATATGTACTTCTTTAATAATTAAAAAAATCAATAACTATGTAATAATATCTACCTTATCATCTAAGTAAAAGACAAATCAATAAATATATTTGTCATAGTAGTGTGGCCATTATATATAAGGCTAGAAGAAATTCTGTACAGGTGGAATTTTGTTGAAGTAACACATGTACTCAATTTTCATGTATTTTTGGATGGCTTCGAGTGTTGTTTATTACATGAAAACAAATCCCTTTTATAAGTCTTGGCTTGTTCTCAATGCATTTTGTAGGATCAAAATCTTCTGTCTTCAATTCCTATTCTCAATTGTCCCTCTAATCATAAAATGCCACATCAATACTTTTAACTTTAATTTTGATTTTTAAAAATTTGTAAAGGATTTTGTTACGATTTTTTCTCTCACGTTCTCACCGTAATGTTCTCTTCATAAAAATGCTTTCCTTTTATCAAAATTACTAGCATGCCAACCGCTGACGGATGAAAAGAAAACAATTCAAGGGAAAGGAATAAACTTTGCCGCGTTATATGATGAAGATCTGGTACTGTTATTAACAAAATTATTATTTTGTTAAATGTTTATATATATTTTTTTAGATATATTTTATTTTTAAGAAAATATATAATTTTATTTTGTAATTTCAAGAATACGATTCACATAAATATTATAAATAAAAAAATCATTTTTAGATATATATTTCTTAAAAAATATTATATTTAAATATTTTTAAATTCAAAATAATTTAAATAAAATAAATAAAAATAAAAAGGCCTAAAAGAATATGTAATAGATACTATTCATCATCATATTTTTAAGAAATAAAAAATAATTTTCTTATTTATAATATTTTTTTCCTAGCTATTTTTATTTTGTAATTTCAGGAATTTGTTGGCCGTCATGTCACCCCTTCAATATTTTATTTTATTTTATATTTTTTATTCACACACAGCCTCCAGGAATAATAAAGTAACAAAAAATAAATAAGATATATTGTACCGGGAGGACCCTATCGGTCACGTGGACCAACATGTGTCATTCCGTCAGACACTCACGCGTACTGAACCATACCTAAAACCTTGACCCTAGCATCGGCTCCGCCTACAGCAATCTTCTGTCTTCAATTCCTATTCTCAATTGTCCCTCTAATCATAAAATGCCACATCAATACTTTTAACTTTAATTTTGATTTTTAAAAATTTGTAAAGGATTTTGTTACGATTTTTTCTCTCACGTTCTCACCGTAATGTTCTCTTCATAAAAATGCTTTCCTTTTATCAAAATTACTAGCATGCCAACCGCTGACGGATGAAAAGAAAACAATTCAAGGGAAAGGAATAAACTTTGCCGCGTTATATGATGAAGATCTGGTACTGTTATTAACAAAATTATTATTTTGTTAAATGTTTATATATATTTTTTTAGATATATTTTATTTTTAAGAAAATATATAATTTTATTTTGTAATTTCAAGAATACGATTCACATAAATATTATAAATAAAAAAATCATTTTTAGATATATATTTCTTAAAAAATATTATATTTAAATATTTTTAAATTCAAAATAATTTAAATAAAATAAATAAAAATAAAAAGGCCTAAAAGAATATGTAATAGATAATATTCATTGTCATATTTCTAAGAAATAAAAAATAATTTTCTTATTTATAATAATTTTTTCCCTAACTATTTTTATTTTGTAATTTCATAAATACGATTCACATACATATTATAAATAGGAAAATCATTTTTAGATATTTTTTTTTAAAAAAAATGTTATATTTAAATATTTTTAAAGTCAAAATAATTTAAATAAAATAAATATAAATAAAAGGCCTAATAGAATATGTCATAGATACTATTCATCATCATATTTCTAAGAAATAAAAATAACTTTCTTATTTATAATAATTTTTTTCTAGCATTCTTTTTTATATTGATATTCTAATAACTTACACATTGATTATAAGATCTAATATTGTGCAAGTTAGTGAGACCAAAGCCAACAAGTTTTTAATTTATTGATCACACCAATGGATCTTTTACCAAACACAAAGCTTCACCATGACTACAAACACACAAGGATGCATTAGTGAATGCATTAGATTCTAAATTTTAACTATATGTGATTGTTGAAGACTAAAATACATTTTGACTTTTGAAATATAAAGATTGCAAACTACTCAATTGTAAACGTCAAATATGAGCTAGTAAAATTGTATCGATGTATTATAAATTCATTAATAATAAAAAAAGATCAGAGGTTATTTTATTACTATAATTTTTATTTTGCATTAACAATAACATCAAATGAATTTCTTGTTTGATCATAATAAGATTATCTAATAAAGTGAGAAATTTTATTTCTATGATACAAGGCCAAGAAAAATATCTAAATTGCAATAGTGTATTTGCAAAGTTTGAAAAATACATAAAACCAGAATTTTAAACTAGAATCATTGAAACATCTTGATGTTTATAAAAACTCTCTATGACCAAATTGTTTCACAGATCATTTTGTCCTTCTTTGCTTTCAGATTTTGTAACATCATTTGTTCCATGTTCAATGCTAGATAGTTGTGCCTGTACATTTACATATACCCCATTTTACAAACATGATTTAAAAGAAATATTAAACTAACAAAAATAGAAGGCACTATAATTTATCACCTGTAACAACTCTGTCATGCTCATCTTACTACTTGACTCCATGAATGTATTGTTGGCAACATATGTGGGAAACTAAATAATACAATTTTAATAACAATTACAAATTATCATATAGATTATAAATTAGCATGAAAAACAAAAAGTAAAATAAATTAGAGAATACCTTATTAAATTGAGATGAAGGCAATTCATTATCTAAGTTCTTAATGGAAGGTTCATCTTGTTGCATAGTTTTCTTCTTTTTTCTTCTTTCAAGAATACCTTTTGGCCTAGTAGATGATCCTCGAAATCTTTCTTTGGTCTTTATTCCTTTCACATTATCCTTATTCCCACTACACCAACCTTTTTCAATATTTATAAGTGAACCATCACTAGTACTAACTTCCTTGTCTCTACCTTCAAGACAGACATCTATATCATTCATGGCCTTGGTCAAATAACTAATAGCTATATTATATGTTTCTTCAGTTATCGCTCCTTTAGTTGCTAACTGAACTTGCATCCTACATATGTCTTTATAGCGCATACCTATTTTTGCCTTAGGGTCCTCATGGATTATAGAATGGTTAGTTGGTATGCCATTTCCCATTTTTGCATGTTTTGTCCATCTCTTTAATACATACATAGCAGGTATTTTCATAACATTTCTTGAAGAGAGAACTTTGAGAGCATGTGAGCATAAAATCCCTGCAAACTCATACCTTTTACAACTACACTTCACTGAACCAATAGAGGAGTCATAATGGACAGTATGTTGAAATAACTTCTTATATGAGGTAACTTTATATTCAGTAACTTCCCCATTTTGAGAGGAAATATACATACTACAATCATAACCACTTGATACCTCGTGTTGGATCATCTTAAATATTGCAGGAGTATAAATTGTTGCCGCATGCCGTAGAATTTCCACATCAAATGACAGAATTAAACTTCTTTGGGTTACTTTAAAATCTGCCTTTGATTCCTCATCTCGACGATCTTCTACCATTCTCTGAAAATGATGAAAAAATCTTAGTAAATCATGTTGATAACTCACATATTTTTTAATTACATTATTCATACTCTCATTTCGTTGTGTGGTAGTCATGTCTGCACAAAAGTTCTCTCGACCATAAACTAATGCCCATTTCTCCTTTAAAGCAAAAGTCTGTTTCAACCAACTATTATCTTTAAGATCATATTTCTCAAGCATATTGCTCCAAGCTATTATAAACTCTTCTTCCTCTTCATATTCATAGATGCATTTATTAAAATCCTTACTGAAATCTTGAAACTTCCCAAACACTATACTCAATTTCTTTAATGCATTTTGATACAAATGCCAAATACAAAGACGGTGGCATATTTCTGTCCATACCAAAGCTAATGCCTTTGCCATTGCTGCATCTTGGTCAGTAAGAATAGTCTTTGGTTTCTTTTCTGACATAGCTTTAGCAAAAGTATTGAACAACCAAATAAAACTTTTAGCCGTTCCATCATATAATAATGCTGCTCCAAAAATAATGGTAAGCTTATGATGATTGACTCCAACAAACATTGCAAATGGACGACCTTCTTTATTTTTTCTATAAGTAGTATCAAAACAAACAACGTCACCAAAATATGAATAATCAATCATCATCTTCACATCAGCCCAAAAGATATTAGTAATTAAGTCATCCTCATCGACTTGTATTGCATAAAAGAAATTAGAATCTTCTAATTGCATTTTTTGCAAGTACTCTAGCACACCACCTGTATCTCCTGACTTCATTTGCATTGTTCTCTTGGAACGTAAATAATTTCTATAGTCTTCAGGAATGAATCCAAGATTTTCACGACCACCAGCTCGCCTAGCCATTAACTCACAACTTGCTTTTGGAGTAATTCCAGAATCATCAGCTAAATGAACCTCGGCTACTTGAGGAATAGTCATTTTCCTTTGAGATCTAAGCAAATGACTCTTACTAGGAGTTGTAGTCTCATGTGCATGCTCGGCAATAAATTCAGTTACACGATACTTTCCTGTTAAACGACTATTAACTTTCATCTTTGCCAAACAACCAAATCTTGATTGTGGTCGAGGATTTTTGACATTATCTTCTCGCTTATCTTTCCCACGATATCTTTCGCATGAACAACAAAATACTCTATTAACTATCTTCCCATATTTATCTTTATGCCCTTTGCTAATCCTCACACTGAAACCCACTTTATAAGCATAATCATTGTAAAAATTATATGCTGCATCTTCAGTCTCAAACTCCATCCCAACTTTTGGTATAAATTGACTAGGAATTGTATCATGTATCATATCAATTTTTTTTCCTTCAATTTCATCCACATTATCAATGCCCATTTCTTGATGTTCTTCTTCAGCCATAACACAATGCTCTAAACTAGTGACCAAGAATTAGATATGTATGAAATAAAGAATGAACTTGTGTAACAATCCAACAAAGTTAAAGTCAAACAAAATGAAACAAACACGATATTTAAAGAGATCAAATAAATCTTAAATCAATAAGAAAACCACAAATTATGTAATGTGAAACGGAGAAAAAGAATAGGAGTAGGAGAAACCAAAAGACAATGAGAAACATGAGAATGACTTACGAGACCCTATCAATAAAGTCTTTAACGCATTTTTAGATCTGTTCGTCAAAAGAGAAACAAAACAAAATTAAGGAATGTACTTAATTTTCACGATATATTAATTTATTTATCTCTTTTCTATACCTTCTGCTTATTACTCGCATACCTTTTTTCCTCTGAAGCTTTTGACTCATTTTTTAACCCATCAAAATTTGCATCCGTCAACATTTTCAAATACAATATTTCTTTAATTTTAATATCTTAAAGTTTTAAACATTATATATGTACCTGTTAGAGGGTATACTCGTAATCTTCTGTGGGGAAGGGCTGAACGGGATCTTCTGGTGGACTGGTGGAGGAGGGGGGGAGGTACCTGCAAAAGGCACTCCGACGCTCAAGTTAGGACAAACACGACTTTCTATGATAATTAATGAACAGTGACATACCTCGATATAAGTGACCTATTTATACTACTACTGATGGGCCTTGCCAGCAGTGGGCCTCTTCTAAAGCTTACCAAATTAGGTAATACGGTGCTAATCGGCTAATTATGTCTTAATCACGTGCTTATCCCTGTTAACCATGATCAACGTTATAATTCTTGCTTTGTCCTTCGGCACATCACCGAGCTGACAGGTTAAGGCTTGGGGTGCTGAACGTCTTGGCTGTTGGCCGGACCGATGCGTATTTGCTATGCTATTCTACTTGATCGGCATTTGGCTGAGCCGGTACACGGTATATGGAGATGTATCATGGTTCTGCTCGTATCGGCCTTATACCGAGCCGATATTGCTGTCGGACTCCTTTAGGCCTTTGGCTGTAGGCCGAGCCGATGCTAGGGTCAAGGTTTTAGGTATGGTTCAGTGCGCGTGGGTGTTTGACGGAACGGCACGTGTTGGTCCACGTGATCGATAGGGTCCTCCCGGTACACAAGCCCCCCAGCCTTTAGGAATGAAACGACGCAAAGGGTAAATGTGATATTTTGGTTGTGATTTTTTAGGGAAGGCCAGGGGTTACAACCGCTGACGAGAAACGAAGGGTTGTAACCGTTGGGCATTAATAACGCACGCGAGGAGTTATGGCTGCTAATGGAAGGCGAAAAGTTGTGACCGTTGTGGGAATACCAAGGGTTATAACCGTTAGGTATTAATGACGCGTGCGAAGGGTCGTGCATCGTGAACCGTTAGATCTAAGTGATCCAACGGTGTGCAGGTGGGTGTGGCCCTTGAAGTACTTGCAAGGAGCGCCTATAAATAGGTGTGTGGGGAGGTTCCCCTAAGGTACACGTTTATCACTTGCTCCGAGTCGAGATCATCTGAGTTGGTGTTCGACTATTCTTCAACGACGATAGGTCAAGTTCAACAATCAGATACGTAATGGCAGATTTAAATTTCGTTCATGTTGACTCCTCCGGGGACGAAGGTGATTCTAGTTTAAGAGCAACGCCGGATCGAGACGTCGTATCGGCCTCGGCTTCCAATGGGGAAGACCACGCAGAGTCCGTTTCTGGGTCCGAACGGTCGCGAAGTGGGAGTGACTCTTCTTCGGCTATAGCCTCTGATGATCATTCGAGCAAGGGTGGCGGATCGTCAAGGAATTTTGTGCCCATATCGACCCCTGGGTACTCGTGGGTGCATGGGGAGGTTGGCAGCGTGTATTCCTGGTATACCAGTAAGAACTCGCTTATTCAGTTCGTATCGGCAGTGAAATTCTTGACTTTCCCGGAGGAAGAGGAACCCTCTGCCATCTTTTTTCAGCCGTGCCGAGGCGATGGGGGGTCGAATCCAGATTTCGTGTACTTGGACCAAGGGTCGTCTAACTACCAATTCTTTTATGTGTACGATTACATGTTCCGGGATTTGAAGATAACTCTCCCTATTGATGATTATTTTATTGGTATTCTGCGGCTTCTGAACGTGGCACCAAGCCAACTTCATCCAAACACCTGGGCGGCGATGCAAGGGTTTAGGCATTTGTGTTTCGGTCTCGGGATCCAACCTACTCCGCACCTATTCCTACACTTCTATTCGTCTCGGCCTACGAAGAAGATTAAGTGGTTGTCACTGGTTCGGCACAGTGATTGCTTGTTACAACCCTTCACCACTTCCTATAAGAATTTCAAAGAAGGATTTATGAAGGTGATGATTCGGCCAAAGACAGGAAAGAAATATTTCTTCGATGCCGAAGGGAGATCACTATTTCCGTTGTACTGGACTCAGAAGCCGAGGAAGTACGACATGGTGATCGAATCTCGACTGTCCCCGGAGAAGCAATCGAGTTTGAATTTTTTAAAGAAGTTGCCCCGGCCTTTGCCATGTCGTCCTCTGGTCCGATTGTACGAGTCGGCCAACGTAGTCGAAGAATTGATTGGTATAGTACCTTTCTTACTTGTTTAAATTCTTGCGTTATCATTGATTTTGACTAGTGGTGTGCAGGTATCATGGAGGGTCATGGAGAGGACGATCTAGACATCCGCACGCTGATTAGGAACCAAGTGGCGGCGACTACTGGGAACAAGACCCCGGCCGGCGTGCGCGGGAATCAACCAACTGCCCAAGGTAGAGGGGCGGGCCCAACGGCCAAACCGAGGAAGCCTAATCTGTAATACCCATTTTTTTTTTATTATTATTAATTATAAATGGCATTTTCGTAAATTTTATAAAGGTATAGGGGTATTAATAAGTATAAAAAGTAAAATAATATTCCTATTTACTTGATAAGACATGCCTATGACATTTAAACAAAGTTATTAAAGAAATCAGACATTTTAATAATTAGATTTTTTATTTTTTATTTATTAAATATTCTATTTATTTAAACAAATAGAACATTTTTTTTTATATTTTCGTATTTAAACATATTTGTTTATTTTGTAGATGAGAAGGAAAAGAATGAAAAACATTGAAAGAAACAAATGGAGAGCTTAGAGAAACATCAAGAGAGAAAAAGAAATTTAGTTAACTTTTAGCGTTTAGCATGAAATTTCACGCTCAGTGTCAATGTTGCGTAGAGTGATTTAATTTCTCATGTTTTGCACAAAATTCCATGCTCAACACTAAAGTGTTGATCTATCTTAATGAGAAAAGACAAAAGGGTTATGACTTAAAATGGGGGTAAATTTGAAGATAACATCATTAAGGAACATTTCTCAGAGTGCGTATAGCGACCATAGAATTCTCATGATTTCCAGATCAAGATTTTTCCTTTCTTTACCATTTTTGTTGTGTTTTATGTTTGTGTGTAATTAAGTTTACCCTTGTTGGGGGTTTGGTGTAACTATACATATTCTCATGTTAACATTTTAAGTTTTTAATCATAGTTGTTATTCGGTATTATTACTTTATCTTTTTTGCTTAATATTTGTTATGATTTGATCTCTCTTAACTATATTTTATCGATTTAAAGTGATTGTAAAATGTTTGTGAACATTTGAACTGAACTAGAGTAATTAGTGGTGTTTACCTTTATTAAGAATAGGAATAGAGTAAATGTTAGTAGTCATTCATAAACTCTTGTTCTTAAAATTGGATTTTTGATTAAACTATTCAAGGAATTGATAACTTAGTCAAGAAACTTAGACTCTACCTTGTAAAGGATTAAGATTGAGTATATTTGTGAGTTGAATTTTAATTTATGTTATAATTGGATTAAAGCTTGTGTTGTAAGCACAAAAAGATAGTTTGGTGAAGATGAACCCTCAACATATTTTATTATTTTGTTAAATATACACGAATACTAAAAATGCAAAAAGTTGATTTTAACAAAATAATAAAATATGTTGAGGGTTCATCTTCACCAAACTATCTTTTTGTGCTTACAACACAAGCTTTAATCCAATTATAACATAAATTAAAATTCAACTCACAAATATACTCAATCTTAATCCTTTACAAGGTAGAGTCTAAGTTTCTTGACTAAGTTATCAATTCCTTGAATAGTTTAATCAAAAATCCAATTTTAAGAACAAGAGTTTATGAATGACTACTAACATTTACTCTATTCCTATTCTTAATAAAGGTAAACACCACTAATTACTCTAGTTTAGTTCAAATGTTCACAAACATTTTACAATCACTTTAAATCGATAAAATATAGTTAAGAGAGATCAAATCATAACAAATATTAAGCAAAAAAGATAAAGTAATAATACCGAATAACAACTATGATTAAAAACTTAAAATGTTAACATGAGAATATGTATAGTTACACCAAACCCCCAACAAGGGTAAACTTAATTACACACAAACATGAAACACAACAAAAATGGTAAAGAAAGGAAAAATCTTGATCTGGAAATCATGAGAATTCTATGGTCGCTATACGCACTCTGAGAAATGTTTCTTAATCGGCCCCAGCCTAAAAAAATAAGGCCGGACGCAAGGGCCTAAGAAGAGAGCCGTCGAGCTAAGCAACACCGTGTGGCGGGTCCCACTGTTCCGGAAGGCTTGGCTGGACCAAGTTTTTTGGCTGGCGATGTTAACGCTCAAGATTTTTTGAGCCAAGACTTGACCTCCGAAGCGGGTCAAGGGGTGCTGAGTCGCATGACTTCGGCTCAGAAGTGGAGCTTCTTCTGTGAGTTCCAAGTCCGTGCTGTGGCCTTGGCACAGAGCATTGTGATGCAGCCGAACGGCGAGGTCGACGGACTTCGTCGTCAACTAGCCGAGCAGGAGAAGTCTCTCCAAGAGACTTTGGCAGCACTCACTAACGCCCAAACGGCCAACAGCAAATACCATGCCGAAGTGGATCGCCGGGGTCAGACTGCTGACAACCTTGCTCTGAAGGTTCAAC